ATCTAGTTCTTTATGCTTTCATTTGATGCTTAGGGTTCCAGGACTGACGTTTGTATTTGTTTTACTTAGTTTTTTGGGTCTTTGCTGCACAGGGATGACATGATGTGTATATCTATGATGCCATGTTGGTTCTGCCCCCTCCTTCCATCTTCTTTTGATGCTTCCTGCATCATTCAGTATTTTACCTGTAGAATCTTCAAATACTGAAGGATTCACAGACATTAATTTTATTAGTTATGGTGTTGTGCAATCATCACCACTATCCATTTCCAAATGTTTTTCATCACCCTTAAACAGAAACAGAAAACCAAACCAAACCTATTGCGATCGAGTTGCTTCTGAATCATAGCAACCCTGTAGAGAGAGTAGAACTGCCTTATGAAGTTTCCAAGGAGCAGCTGGTAGATCTGAACTGCTGACCTTTGGTTAACAGCTGTAACTCTTAACTACTGCACCACCAAGTGTCTGAACAGAAACTCAGTACCCCTTTATAACACCCATTTTCCCATCCTCTCATCCCCTGGAAAACACTAATAAACATTGGTCTCTATACCTTTGCCTATTTTAGATATTTCATATAAATGGGATCATGCAATATTTGTCCTTTTATGTCTGACGTATTTTACTCAGCATAATGTTTTCAAGATTCATCTATATTGTAGCATGTATCAGAACTTCATTTCTCTTTATGGCTGAATAATATTCTATTGTATTCATTTACTATCTGTTTTTAATCCATATATCTGTTGATGGATGAATGTTTTCACCTTTTGACTATTATGAATAAAGATGCAATGAACATTGGTGTACATATATCTGGTTAAGTCCCTTCTTTCAATTCTTTTGGGTATATACCTAGGAGTGGAATTCTTGGGTCATATGGTAATTCTATATGGAACTTTTTGAGGAATCATCAAACTGTTTTCCACAGAGGTTATATTATTTTACCACCAGTTATGGATGAGGGTTCTAATTTTCTATATCCTCTGCAAGACGTCGTATTTTCAGTTTTTTGATAATAGCCGTCCTAAACTCATTCCCGTAGAGTCAATTCCAACTAATAGTGACCCTATAGGATAGGGTAGAACTGCTCCATAGGATTTCCAAGGAGCGGCTGGTGTATTTGAACTGCTGACCTTTTGGTTCGCAGTCGAGGTTCTAACCACTGTGCCACCAAGGCTCCAAAAAGATGAAAATAGAGCCTAAAATTCTAAGATACATTTCATTCATAGGGTCAAATATATCTGCTAAATAAAACAACACATGCACACTTTCTTTAAATAGTTCTATATGTAATGTTCTGTATGTAATTCTATATGTATATGTATTTTCTTTCCTTTTACTTTTTTTCTTTTATCTTTAAGGGAATGTTTACCTAAACTTTAATTAAGCATTTCAAGGCCCATCTCTAGAATACCAGGAACAAACCCATTCTTGCTGAGTAGATTCTTACTCATGGAGACCCCATATATTACAGAGTAGCAGTGCTCTATAGGGTTTTCTTGGCTGTAATCTTTTCAGAAGCAGATTGTCAAGCCTTTCTTCTATGGCATCACTGTGTGAGTTTGAACTACCAACTTTAGGTTAGTAGCTGGGTGCAAACCATTTGCACCACCCAAGGACCTTCTTCTAGAATAGTGGTCTCAAATCATTTTTGCATTATACATCCTTAACAGTAAAAAAATCAACATATGCACACCTAATATTGAACATTTATTTATTTAAAACAATTACATATACATGATCTAATATAATGTGCCCACTACATAATTATACCCATAAAACCAAACCCATTGCCGTCGAGCCTATTCTGACTCATAGCGACCTTATAGTCCCAGTAGAACAACTCCACGGGGTTTCCAAGGAGCGGCTGGTGGATATGAACTGCTGACATTTTGGTTAGCATCTGTAGTCCTTAACCACTGCTCCACCAGAGCTCCACATAAAAATAAGGATTAAAATATATTAAAAAATAAACACTTTAATTAATCTGACATTTTATTCACTAATGGTAAAAATTATTTTACTCTCACTTTAAAAATTGTTATTAGTCTTTTTAGAAACAGCAATGTGATTGAATATGCTTCATTATCTTGCAGAATATTGGTTCAAAAGATGTCTCAGATATATATTGTTGATTAATAAACCACCCTGTTGTGGTTTATTGAATTGTGTCCCCCCCCACCAAAAAAAATTTAAGTCCTATTCCCAGTACCTGTGAATATAATCTTATTTGAAAATAAAGTCCTTGCAGATGTAATTAGTTAAGATGAGTTTATACAGAATTAGGGTGAGCCCTAAATCCACCATGACTGGTGTTCTTAACTGAAGAGGAGAGAAGACACAGAAGACAGACATACAGGGAAGAGGCCATGTGAAGACACAGAGATTGGAGTGACGCAACTTCAACCAAGGAACACCAAGGATTTCGAGCAATTGCCAGAAACTAGGAAGAGGCAAGACGGATTCTTCCCTAAGGCCGTCAGAGAGAGCATAGCGCTGCCGGTTTCTTGATTTTGGGCCCTGGGCTTCAGAACTATGAGACAATAAACTTCTGTTGTTTTAAACCAGTCAGCTTTTGGTACTTTGTTAAAGCAGTCCTAGAAATCAATGTTGTTGTTTATTGTTGTTGGGTGCCTTCAAGTTGATTCTGACTCATAGTGACACTATACAGCAGAGTAGAACTGCCCTTTAGGGTTTCCTACTGTATGATCTTTATGGAAGCAGACTGCCACATCTTTCTCCCGTGGAGTGGCTGGTGAGTTTGAACTGCTGAGCTTTCGGTTAGCAGCTGAGCTCTTAAGCATTGCACCAGCAGAGGTCCTTTAGAAAACAATACATATATACCCCAAAGCTTAGTGGCTAAAAAACCAATTATTTTATTATTTCTTATGATTCTCTCCATTGATTAGGGCTCAGTTTGATAGTTCTTCACTTGATCTTACCCTTTAAACACAAATCTTACATAAAATCTGTTACACACAACTTTGACTTAATGGTGCTAGTGGAGAAATAAAAGAAAGAGGCTTTGAACTGCATTCATAAAATGCAAGCTAGAGGGATGCAAAGCGCTCCAGCACTAATTGATATCACCATTCTCCATTGCACTCCAGTTCAAGCACACCTTCTGTTCTATCAATCAAAGGCATTTAGGAAAGTGGTGCTTTTTGCCCATCTTCTACATCAGTCCCTGTCATAGATTGAACTGTGTCGCCCAAAAAATGTGTGTATCAATTTGGCTAGGCCATGATTCCCAGGGTTGTGTGGTTGTCCTCCCTTTTGTGATTGTAATTTTACGTTAAAGAGGATTAGAGCGGAATTGTAACACAACACTAACTCAGGTCACATCCCTGATCCAATGTAAAGGGAGTTTCCCTGGGGTGTGGCCTGTACCACCTTTTATCTCTTGTAAGGTATAAAAGGAAATGGAAGGAAGCGGAGAGTTGGGGGACCTCATACCACCAAGAAAGAAGCACTGGGAGCAGAGCACGTCCTTTGGACACGAGGTTCCTGTGCAGAGAAGCTCCTAGTCCGGGGGGAAGACTAATGATGATGAGGACCTTCCTCCAGAGCTGACAGAGAGAGAAAGCCTTCTCCTGGAGCTGATGCCCTGAATTTGGACTTCTAGCCTACTAGATTGTGAGAAAATAACCTTCTCTTTGTGAAAGCCATCCACTCGTGGTATTCCTGTTAGAGTAGCACTAGATAACTAAGACAGTCCCCATGTATTGAAATAATAGTCAGAAAATTTCATTAAAAATAAAGTGAAATTCCCCCAGAAATGTTGTGTAAGTTGCTCTCTGAGAGTTAAACTGGTAAATTCTACATATAATGGATAAGATCAGACCTCTATAAAAATAACTCATCTTACAGTACACAATACTGGGGAAGCCAGCACAACTTGTACAAGGAAAGGTCATGGAAGTTCCATAGACACATACAAACTCCCTGAGAGACTGATTGCTGGGCGGAGGGCTGTGGGGACCATAGTCTCTGGGAACATTTAGCTCGATTGGCATAACACAGTTTATAAAGACAATGTTCTACATTCTACCTTGGTGAGTGGCGTCTGGGGTCTTAAAAGCCTGTGAGCAGCCATCTAAGATACTCCACTGGTCTCATCCCTTTGGGAGCAAGGGAGAGTGAAGAGAACAGGATACAAGGAAAAGATTAGTCTTAAGGACTAATGGACCACAGCTACCATGGCCTCCACCAGCCTGAGTCCAGTACAGATAGATGGTGCCCAGCTACCACCACTGACTGCTCTGACCAGGATCACAACAGAGGGTTCTGGACAGAGCTGGAGAAGGATGTAGAACAAAATTCTAACTCACAAAAAAAAAGACCAGATTTACTGGCCTAAAGGAGACTGGAGAAACCCCGAGAGTATGGCCCCCAGACACCCTTTTAGCTCAGTGATGAAGTCACCTCCGAGGTTCACCGTTCAGCCTGGGAGTGGACAGCCCCATAAAACCAAATGAGACTAATGAGGCACAGCAGTCCAGGGACAAGGACTAGAAGCAGAAGGGGACAGGAAAGCTGGTGATAGGGAACCCAAGGTTGAGTAAGGATAGTGTTGATGTGTTGTAAGGTTGTTAACCATTGTCATAGGGCAACATGTGTACTAACTGTTTAATGAGAAACTATTTTGTTCTGTAAACCTTCATCTAAAGTGAGAATAGCAGCACAATTGGAAGAGCGTAGTCGATGTCACTGAACAGTGCATGTAGAAATTTTTGAAATGGTGTATCTATGGCTATGTATATTTTCACCAAAAAAAAAAAAAAAAGGTCGAGAAGGGAGAGGGTTGACATGTCGTGGAGTTGTTAACCAATGTCATAAAACAATATGTGTACTACTGTTTCATGACAATCTATTTGTTCTGTAAAACTTCACCTGAAGTACAATAAAAAAAAAATTTAAAAAAAAAACTCATCTTAAGATATACTTAGGAAAAATTGGCAAATGAAAGACTCAGTTGCATCAAGATGATCAGGGCGTAATTTCAGGAGGTCACATTAGGAACTATACATGGGTGTACAAGTATAGCTGTGGACGGGACAAGCTTTATCATAATCAATTATAATCACCGGACTAAGGCAGTGAATTACAGACTTTATTGTACATATATTTTATATTTCAGTAAAAAGAAAATGATGGTTAAGAACTTTAGTAAAAAGGGAGACAAACACAAACCAAGGGACATTTTGTGTAGTAATCCATGCACAGAAACCATAAAACTGAACCAAAGAAAAGAATTATCAGAATACTGGGAGAATATAATTCTATAGATCAGCTCATCAGCAGTGACCTCTAATTCTAAATCTTTAATGTTCAATCTCTAATTTCCCTTTGTCTGTACCTGATGTTAAATGCCAAGACTGAACAGAGAATGTTAAGAAGCCCAAAGAGTCTACTGGGCCAAAGCTGGAATTTACCTTAAATTAATGTGTATCATGCGCCTACTGTTACATAATATGCTTCTAGTTTGAAGTAATAAATTGATTTGAGAGAAACTAAAAGTTATGAGTGGGATTCTTTTGCTTCTGACCAGTCCATAAAAGAGAAAATCAGACAGGAGGAGGAACCACATCAAATTATATCAATACCTAATTATATCAGTAACTAATCCCTTAGCAGTCAGACAAATTAGGAAAGGAAGCTCATGCTCCCTCCATGTGTCCACCGAAGGGCTTTCTAGTACAGTGTCTGGAACATGGAAAATGCTTAATAAGTGTACATTTTATGGATGAATGAAATGTGAGAACTGATTCGATCATAAGTGGAATAGGTGACAGCTTATTGAAAAATTCTATGGGCAACCCTTACACAAGACTTCCACAGAAACAAAAAGAACAAATTAGTCCTTTCATGGTGAATGCCAGCCCAATCACATGTCCATGGAGAATGTTCCATTCATAAGTAGGTCTTCATCATCTCGCAGATTGACTTTTGAGTTTCAACACAAAAGGCATCATTCCAGCCCCAGATTCCCTTACGAGAATTTATGAAAACACAACGCTCGTCATGCTTATTGGGTTCACCAGGATGCCAGAATCTGAAATGGAGAAAAGGGATGAGGCTATTTTTTCAAATTGTGCTTTGAGAAAGGGTTAGAGACTTAGGGAGCTGGGGTGGAACAGTGCGGCATCCAGGTCAGATATGTCCAATCATTCCTTCCCCACTTCTCATGCTGCCTCCTTTTGTAAAACCCTGAAGTTTAAGCAGCTTCTCCTCCATCTGTGTCTCTGACATTGCCTTTGAAAATTGTGCCCACGTCACTTGGTATTCTGCCACCTTAAGCAACTCAGGACACTTAAATATCCTCTCACCAGCCATCCCAGAGGCTTCCATCTACTTGTTCGTCCTTCTCTCCTGTTCCCATGAGATTGCCAGTCCCATAGGGCTTCCTTAAGTGATGAAAAGATTGCCCCTGGTCACAAGTATCAATATAGTTTGTTCTTTACGCACTGCTTTTGAGCACTAGTGCTTCTGGAGCACTGATTAAGATCTCTGGATCTGCTACTTTCTCACTGTTATCTTGGGCAAGTAATATAATTTCCCTGAGTCTCAGGTTTCCTATCTAAAAAATGGGGATTGAGTACTATGCATACGTATTTCACATAGTCGGTATGAAGATCAAAGGTGTTAATGTATTCTAAAGTACTTTAAAGTTCTTTAAACATGACATAAATAGGGGTCACAATAAGATTATCAGAATTTAGTATTTTTGTTTTAGGAAAAATATTAAATCTTAATAATTAAGTATGATCTTAAATGACATGAGTTTTTTTGTTTTATTTAGAGACATAAATGTGGCTAAAAGCACAGACTTCAGCGTCATATAGACCTGGTTTTTTTTTTTAAGTAGTTTTTTGTTGTTGTTTGGTAGCTGAGAGCTGGACTTGACCCTGTATGGTGCAGCATTCGGGATTCTTTTATTGAATGCGATACTCACGTGATACTTCTGTTGTATGGTGACTGATCTACCCATTGCCACTGGCACGTCCCTTTTGGGTCTGACAGCCCTACGTAGTAAGCAAATTCTCTTTCCAGGATCTGGAGTATTAATAGCTGAGAGAAGAAAAGAAAGGCCTCACAGACTATAGAGCACTTAGGTTGTACTGAGTTTCTTATGGTCTTAGGCAAAGAGAAGAAAAGAACAAGAATCAGGGAAAGCCATATGGCCCCTGACCATGATCACAGGACCTCTGGGCTGAGCAGGGCAGGGTCACATACATCACTTATGAACACATGGAAGAGAGTTCTAACCATGATCAGACTGAATTCTAATCTCATACCCACTTTCTCTTTTTCTTCTCTAAGAAATGATGTTCTTCACAGTTGTATATGAGGCAATGTTGGCAGATTCAATCATTTTTCTTTCATGACTTCAGAAATGCTTTAACTTCATTTCTGACTGTTGATTGTGATTCTCCATGATTCAACTTTCTCTATTCCACTTCATACCCCTTCTTTGTTAGTGAATGATGTATAAGACATTTACATGTTGAAAGAACAAACGATATTTCAGACTGAAATTTTCTCATCCTTCCACTCAACACCTCCATGTTATATTTTAAATGCCCCAATTTCTTTGGGGGGAAATTTATTAAAGCAGGAAGAAGAAGTGCAATGTAAAGGCTTTCTTAGGAACCTCTCCTATTCACTTTCCTAAAAGCCTTCTGCAGCAGCACCAACATACCAGAACAATAAAACCCCCTCTCAGCCAACAGATGAACAAACCCCAGGCAGGGCTCCTGCTTCATGGTCCGTTAGAAGGTACCTGCTCCTCCTCGGCGTTGATCACCAGCAGATGAGCTCCCATCCCAGCACAGTTCTTCTCACTCTCAGTCCAATTATTCAATTCAGAAGAAATAAAGTAGCAGCTGGTATTAGACATGACCCAATTCTCTGGGCAGCAGCTCCATCCTTTCCCTGTATTGAGAAGAAGGACATAATATTCCCTTTAGGAATTTTTAAAATATAAATAATAAGTAAATTTTTGTTTGTTTTTGTTTTAAAAGCTACATTACAAGTAAGAATTGGATACAATTACAAAATTAACTGCGCTATTACTTCCAAACTGATTTTGTGACATTTGCTCCAGTTATCTAAAAAGAGTATTTACCAATGCTGTTTTTCATAAACACAGTAGGAAAATTGCATTGCTAACAGTATATTTATGCTATAGAGATTGATTTAACGACTGTGCTTAAATAAGTTAATTACAAACTTATCATTTGCCTAATGAGCTCTATTGTTATGTAAGCTAATTCAAGAGGCTTGTGCCATACACACTTTGTCTTTGAGAATTAGCTTTCTTTGATTACTGGATTCTTTCTGAAGCCCTTACTCTTTTGTCTTACAGACAGAAGAAATGAATGCCTTAAAGACCAGGTTAGAGATAAATACAGTGGAAAAGGAGTCATATGTGGTGTGAGAGACAGAATATACAAATGGACAATGGCCAGACTATATATAAAAATAGAACTTTGACCCACAACTTGCAGCATCCAACTTAGCACACCAAACCACTGCCTCTGCAGAAATCTGCCCAAATGGCCAGACTGAATCAACAACTGGCAGCTTCCCTAATTTTTGCCTCTCTTCTCTCCCACTCCCACTTCCAACTTTTGCCTCCACTTCAGTCACTTGCTATCTGTCAGAATCCACTGGACAGCAATGGGTATATAAACCACAGAAAGTCAAATATGCTGCCCTAACCAACCGCATAAAATGCCCCACTTCTAGTTAGCCTGCCCCCAGCTTCCTTATGCCAACAGCCTCAAATCAGGGCGTTCCTGAGACCTTCCCTTTTTTCCATTACAAAGCTTTCCAACTCCCCTGCCTGCCTTTGAGTCTCTGACAATCCGACAAACCTCAATTGATGTTAGCTGACTCTCTTGCTGGAGCAAGGTCTGAATAAATACCCTTCGCTTATTCTCGTTTGGGTCACGTTCCTTTATTTCCACAGGTGTAAGCTGCCGTTTAGAAGCACTGGTGGCACTATAGTTAAGCTCTTGGCTGCCAACTGAAAGGTTGGCAGTTTAAATCCACCCAGTGGCTCCACCAAAGAAAGACCTGGTGATCTGCTTCCATAAAGATTACAGCCAAGAAAACCCTAGGGGACAATTCTACTTTGTCCTATAGGGTCGCTATGAGGTGAAAATCGACTCATCGGCCCACAAAACCAAGAAGCTGTCATTTATCACTGTGATTAGTTGTTATTAAATCAGATATAGCAAACAAAATGAGTTAAGCTTTCAGGAAGTAGATGAGAATGATTACTTCACAGGGTGCCTAATTCAGAAGACAATTTAAAGTTGTCCTCATAAAGCTGCAGGGAGATAGACGAAAAGAGAAGCAGTTGCGGAACACCCTTTCCCTCTAAGGAACTGAGACAGCTAGATTGAAAACCAGTTGCTGCTGAGACAACTCCAACTGATGGCCACCCTAAGTGTGTCGGAGTAGAACGGTGCTCCACAGGGTTTTCAATGGTTAATGTTTCAGAAGCAATCACCAGGCATTTCTTCTGACGTACCTCTGGGTGAACTTGAACCCTCAACCTTTCAGTTAGCAGCCAAGCATGTTAACCATTTACACCTCGGAGGGACCAACCAGCTAAACTAAGCGGTTATATAATATTTAGACAGGTCTGAGCTAGGAATATACGGATGATATAAAATACTTCAAGCTTTGTTAGGTGGGTTTATAAGGTGAGTGTGTCATAGGTGAATATACAGACATTGCTCAGGCCCTAACGAAATATGCTTGAGCAGGCAGTAAAGTGAAAAATCTAAGGGAAATTACAGGGTGGAGGGGGCTTCATTACCTAAAGGGAAACCAGCTAGGGTAACAATAAGTCATCTCCAGGCCAATAAAAGATACTGGGCATATGAAAGAAATTCTCCTGTGTGGGAATATCCAGTTCAGTAGGTAAAGGTGAACAGAATTTGTTTGAATGATGGATGGTTTTCTCAGACCCAGAATTCCTTGACTTTGTATCTTTCAGTAGGGAGTCCTCAAGGCAAAATCTAGAGGAATCTTTATAAAAAAAAAAGAAAAAGAAAAACTTGTCCAGAAAGTAATGGAGAAAGAGAAAAACTTTAAAGCTAGCTCCAAATATCACAGAGGCATCACAGGACCAATTTAAGAAGGAGATTAAAGTTACAGTTGATTTCCTCTAGGTTTTCAAATTTGTTGGAGTATAGTTTTTCATAGTAATCCGTAATGATCCTTTTTATTTATTTATTTCAGTTGGGTTTGTTGTAATGTCCCCCATTTCATTTCTTAGTTATTTGTGCCTTCTCCTGTTTTTCTTTTGTCTGTTTGGCCAATGGTTGTCAATTTTGTTGATCCTTTCAGAGCATCAACTTCTGGTTTGTTGATTCTTCTATTGTTTTTCTATTCGCTGTTTCATTTATTTCTGCTCTGATCTTTATTATTTCCTTTCTTCTGGTGTCTGTGGGCTTCTTTTACTGTTCTCTTTCTATTTGTTCAAGTTGTATAGCTAATGTTTTCATTTTGTCCTTTTCTTCTTTTTGGATGTGTACATCTATTGCTATAAATTGACCTCCGAGCACTGCCTTTGCTGTGTCCCAAAGTTTTGGTATGATGGGTTTTCATTATCATTTGATTCTAGGAATGTTTTAATTCCATCTTTGATTTCTTCTATTAACCAGTAATTTTTAAGCAAGGTGTTATTTAATTTCCATGGATTTGATTTTTTTTCCTTGCTCATCCTGTTATTAATTTCTACTTTTATGACATTGAGATCAGAGAAGATACTTTGTATTATCTCAATGTTTTGGATTTTGTTGAGGGTTGCTTTGGGCCTAAAACATGATCTATTCTGGAGAATGTTCCATGTGCATTGGAAAAGAATCTGTACTTTGCGGCTCTTGGGCGGAGTGTTCTATATGTCTATGAGGTCAAGTTGGTTGACTGTGGCCTTTAGATCTTCTGTATCTTCGTTGAGTTTCTTTCTAGCTGTTCTGTCCTTTACCGAGAGTGGTGTGTTGAAGTCTCCTGCTATTATTGTGGAATGGTCAATTTCTCTTTTCAGTGCTGTTAGCGTTTGTTTTATGTATTTTGGAGCCTTGTCATTGGGTGTGTAGATATTTATTACGGTTACATCCTCATTGTGGATTGTCCCATTAATCATTATATAATGTCCTTCCTTGTCTCTTATGGTGAATTTTATTTTAAGGTCTATTTTATCTGAGATTAGTATTGCCACTCCTGCTATTTTTTTTTTGTTGCTGTTTGCTTGATTTATTTTTTTCCATCTGTCATAGATTGAATTTGTGTCCCCCAAAAATGTCACCTTGGTTATGCCATGATTCCCGGTGTTGCATGATTGTCCATCATTTTGTCATCTGCTGTGATTTTCCTATGTGTTGTAAATCCTATCACCATGAAGTTAATGAGATGGGTTAGCGGAAGTTATGTTGATGAGATCTACAAGATTAGATTGTGTCTTAAGCCAGTCTCTTTTGAGATATAAAAGAGAGAAGTGAGCAGAGAGATGAGGGACCTCGTACCACCAAGAAAGCAACAACAGGAGCACAGCGTGTCCTTTGGACCTGGGTTTCTGCTCAGAAGAGCTCCTAGTTCAGGGGAGGATTGATGAGAAGGACCGTCTTCCAGAGCCAATAGAGACAGAAAGTCTTCCCCTGGAGCTGATACCCTGAATTTGGACTTCTAATCTACTAGAGTGTGAGAAAATAAATTTCTCCTTGTTAAAGCCACCCACTTGTGGTATTTCTGTTATAGCAGCGCTAGGTAACTAAGACACCATCCTTTGATTTTTAATATATTTATGTCTTTTTTTGTAAGGTGTGTCCCTCGTTGACAGCATATCGACAGGTCTTTTGCTTTTTTTTAATCCATTCTGTCACGTTCTGTCTCTTTATAGGTGCATTTAAGTCATTTATGTTCCATGTGATTATTGATAGGTGTGAGTTTACTGCTCTCATATTGTTGTGCTTTTTTCTTTTTTTTTTGTGGTTCTGACGTTTTCTTTGTTCTTCTTACTCTCCTGTGCTGAATTCCTTTTGTTCATGGACTTCTTTTTCATTTCTTTCATTTTTGTAGATTTTGTGTTTACTGAGACTATGTTTTTCTTCTTTATTTTTATGAATAGTTTTATTACCTTTCTTTGTGGTTACTTTGAAATGTACCCTATATTCCTAAGTTTAAGCCAGTCTTTTATTACTTGATATCGCCTCAACTGCCTCTCCATTTGAAAGTCCTGTACCTACACCATTTATTCCCTCTTTTATTGTTCTGATGTTACTATCATTTACAGGTTGATCATAACAAATTAAGAGTAACATTGCAAAGAATGAACATTCCAGAACACTTCATTGTGCTCATGAGGAACCTTTACACAGATCAAGAGGCAGTTGTTCAGAGAGAACAAGGGGATACTGCATGGTTTAAAGTCAGGAAAGCTGTGTGTCAGGGTTGTATCTTTTCACCATACTTATTCAATCTGTATGCTGAGCAAATAATCTGAGAAGCTGGACTATATGAAGAAGAACAGGGCATCAGAATTGGAAGAAGACTCATAAACAACCTGCGTTAAGCAGGTAAGAGAACCTTGCCTGCTGAAAGTGAAGAGGACTTTGTCATGGTTTGAATTATGTCCCC